TGCAGAAACTTTCTAGTTTGATATAATTTCGTTTGTTGTTATTTTTTCTTTTGTTGCCTGTGCTTTGGGGGTCTTACTCATAAAGTCTTTGTCGAGTCCTATATCCTGAAGCATTTCCCCTGGGTTTTCTTGCAGGAGTTCTACAGTTTCAGATCTTATATTTAAGTCTTCAATCCATTTTGAGTTGATTTGGGTATATGGTGAGAGGTATGGGTCTAGTTTCATGCTTCTACATATGGATGCCCAGTTTCCTAGCACCATTTACTGAAGAGGCTGTCCTTTCCCTAGTGTATGTTCTTGGCTCCTTTGTCAAAGATCTGTTGGCTGTAAGTGTGTGGCTTGATTTCTTGATTCTGTATTCTGTTCAATTAGTCTGTCTGTTTTTACGCCAGTACCATGCTGTTTTGTTTAATATAGCTTTGCAGTATGATTTGCAGTCAGGTAACGTTATTCCTCTAGCTTTTTTTTTTTTAATTCAATATTGCTTTGGCTATTCAGGGTCTTTTGTTGTTCCATATGAATATTATGATTTTTTTTTTCTATTTATGTGAAGAAAGTGATTGGTATTTTGATGGGGATTGCATTGAATCTGTAGATGGCTTTGAGCAGTATGTACTTATTCACAATGTTAATTCTTCCAATCCATGATCATGGAATATCTTTCCATCTTGTTGTGTGTGATCTTTATTTTATCAATGTTTTGTAGTTTTCACTGTAGAGATCTTTCACCTCCTTGGTTAAATTTATTCCTAGGTACTTTAATTTTTTTGTAGCTACTGTAAGTGGGCTTGATTTCTTGATTTCTTTTTTGCTAGTCTATTGTTGGTGTATACAAATACTACTCATTATTTTATGTTGATTTTGTATCCTGAAAATTTGCTGACTTTGTTTATTAGCTCTAAGAGTTTTTTGGTGGATTCTCTAGATTTTATACCACAGGGCAGGCCTTCTGCTTCTCTGGGGCTGGTAATGCTCTGGTAGAGCAAGGAGAATTCTTACTCCTAGCTAATTTAGAAGGAAATGATGCCAAAAATAACATATGGGATGAGCAAATTAAGTTAACATCTTTATCCAGCTCTGTGTGGTAAGAAGACTCTCATGGAAAAGGAACTTTCCTCATTGCCTTTTTAAAAGAGAGTTTGTACCATGGCTGATGTTCTCCTTGGAGTAAAGGACTTAACTAATTGATATCTACAATCTATTCAGGGACCACGAGAAATCAAAAGGTTTTATATTTTGACTTAATATAAATATTAAAACTTGAAAACCTACACAAATATAACCAAGTTATTTTTGACAAACGTGCAAAAGCAATCTGATAAAGGAAGGATAGCCTTTTTAACAAACAACAAATGGTAGAGGAGCAATTGGATATCCATAAGAATAAAAAAAAAAAAATTTCAACCTAAGTATCACACTTCACACAAAAATTAACTCAAAATTAATCAAAAACTTATATGTAAAATGAAAACTATAAAATTTTAGCAAAAAAACACAAGAGAAAAAATTGGGGATTTAAGGTTGGGTGAAGAGTTTGTAGACATGCTATCTAAAGCATGATCTATAAAAGGAAAAATGGACCTCATTAAAATTTAAAATGTTGGTTCAATGAAAGACCCTCAAGGAGGATAAAAAGGTAAGCTACTTACTGAAAAGATATTTGCGAACCACATTCCTAAGAAAGAATTAATATCTACAATGTATAAAGAATTCTCAAAACTCAACAATAAAAATTAAACAGTACTAAAATACAAAATAGTAACAACACCAAATGCTTGCAAGGATGTGGAGAAACTGGAATACTGTTGCTTTTATGGTAGGAAAGTAAAATAATATTACCACTCTGGAAAATAGTTTGGCAGTTTCTTGGAAAAACTAAACATACAATTACCATGAAACAAAAGAGAGAAATTTTTTTGTGTGTTACCATTTCATCTTTATCATGGTTCATGAAATGTAACACGTCAAATTATTATAATGCTGGTGCAGTAAACCCATTATTATACAAAGACATCCTCTCAACAATCTGTATCCAGGAGATAAAACATGAGTCCATTTTCTAACTCTGTAAATATTTTCTTTAATTCAGCATGTGAAATCTATTTCATTAAATAATTGTAATTTAGGATTAAGTCTCCTGTCCTTTGAGATCAAATTAAACACATAAAGGAAAATCAAAATAGAAAACCCAACTATAACAACTGTATTGTAACATCATTTTATTTTCAGCTATATGAACATCTTTCTCAGGTAATGTTACTAGCGCAACTTGTTTATGGGCTTTTATAGTTTAGGGTAAATATATTTTTTATAAAACTTATCTCTATTGTACATAGTTGTAATATAAAATGATTTACAGGCTATATTTCTCAGAAAGCGGGTTTAGACAGTAATCCTGCTAAAGAAAGTTTCTTATTTAGCCTATGTCATAGAATGAAAAGATATGATTAAAAAGCCTTCTGATCATAATGCTTGAGACCATCAAAGGAATGTTCAGTTTCCTCCACAAAGAGCCACCAGGATTTTTTTCATAATCTTCCTTGGTTTCATCCTGTTGATTTAAAAATACAGAACACTTGATATTACCCCAATCATAATAAACATAAGATAGTTTTAATTATAGAAGAGTTATTGTATTTGTAGACATTAAGTCAGATTATACATTACACTCCATCAATTACATGCGATCTTTGATAATACCATTCATTTAATTAAATAATATGTCTAGCAGATAACTGATATTTCTTGATTACTGTACAAAGAGCAATAGCTTTCAAGATTCAGATTAAGAACTTCTTTGAATTTATTATATTTTACATTAGAGCCATTATTTTCTAATGATGAAATATAATCTCACACAGACTTGAATAATATAATATAATACCTAATTCACTGAACAGAAAGAGAGAAAGTTGTAAGCCTGTGATTTCTTTTTTTTACTTGGCAGACTTTAGTTATCCAAGGCAAATAATGAATTGAATTTAAACAGTTATCTATCTTTCAATCAGTTCGAAACTCCTGACTTTTCTGTCTTATTTTTCTTTTTTCTTTTTTTTTTTTTTTTTTTATAGATGACTGGTAAGGGAATCATAACCCTTGACTTGGTGTTGTCAGCACCATGCTCACCCAATGAGCCAACTGGCCATCCCTATATGGGATCCGAACCCGGGGCCTTGGTGTTATCAGCCCGAGTGAGCCACAGGCCGGCCCATGTCTTATTTTTCAATATGCTAATGAGATAACATGAATATATATTTTAAACAGTTTTACATATGACAAAATTAAGAAAAATATTTTGCAAATACGTTCCTAATCCCCTCACCAATATTCATCACAAAATAAATCATGATGTCTATCTACAGTGGCAGAAACTCTACCACATTTTGTTGATAAGCTTATGTATGTATTATGCTGAACATTTCCATGATTTTGGTTGAAAATGTACCTGGTTTTCCAGTAGAAAATTTACTAGTAAATTTTACAGTGAAAGTTCGATTATCTTATGAAGTCTGCACCCTGATATATTGAATTAATCTAATATATGAAATTCACGGATAGAGCAAGTCAGCTCTTCTCTTTGAAGACTGCAAAAATAAATTTTATTTGTGGCAATGGCATTATGAAAATCACAACATACCAGAACGGCTTGGCAAAGAGAGATACCATGCATCTTTTGATAGAATGCTTTGATATCATTCATGTCGATTTCAGGATGAGAAACCATAATCCTGATCAATGTCTTATGACATGTTCCAGCATCCTGTCCAAAACAAATAATCATAAGTGCCTCTCATTTAGAAAATAATCTTACTAAAGAACATGGATTTTAAAGTGAAGCTCTTTTTACTCTTCCATGTAATTTCTAGAAACCATCTCCAGATTAAAACATACACACACACTTACACAGCACATACACAGCACACACGTGGTAATGAAATGACAAGAAACATTAGCCGTAGATACAGAGAGCTTTTTACAACCTCCTAATCGGTCTCCCACCATCCAGACTTTCCTCCGCCTAAACCAGACAATAATTACGAATAAAGCGAACTTTAGAAATTGTAAATCTGACCATCTAAGTCATGTATTTAAAACACTTCAATGGTCTTCTGTTGCTCTTAGGATGAAAACCAATCGCTTTATCGAGGATTATAATATCCTGCCTAATTCTACAATCTCTTCCATTGTGCACCATTGCTCTAGTTATATTTCTTGCCTTGAAAGGGTTGTGTTACCTTTTGCTTTCAAGCCTGTGTGCGCTTTGTTCCCGCCTCTTGGACCACCCTTGCTGTGTCTCCCCATCTCTTCCACCCTCATCCTCACCTGGCTCATTTTCACTTAAACTTCACTCAAACTTCAAGTTTTAGTTTAGTTGACAGCACGGCTACATTCATTTCCAAATCTGGGGCACCTCTTTCCCTTTGTGGTTCCATACGTAGTACCAGGTATTCCTCATCACCAGCTAAATACCACGCCAGACACAGCAGCCGGAGGGCAGCAACTGTGCTGCCTCCTATGTGACCGCAGCTATCACGCTTCTCATTTCGTAGAGGCTCCTTAATATTATTTGAACAGTTAGATCTCTCTCTCTCTCTCTGAAGACCTCTCTATCTTGGAGTTGCAAAGAAAAAAAAAACAAAGACAACTTTATAACAACTCATTTGGGGGCTCAAAATATAAATATAGAAGTGGTATCCTATATAATACCATGCATGCTAGAGAGTAAGGTTAAAGCGAAATAAAGAAGTTTCTCAAAAACATCTTATGTAACACCTTCTACGTCCGTCATCATTAAATGATATTTTAAAAGATTTACCTATTAATCCATGGTGTGTAAAACAGAACAATGAAAGACAAATGAAACTTAGAAAGTGGGAGATCAGAAAACTCACAAGCTTAGCAGAAGTGGGTTACTAAAATCACACATAAAAAGTGAAAGTATATCGCCCTTACCCTAGTGACTCAGGCTTTAAGCAAACCACAGGTAAGCCATAAATCACTTACAAGCCCACTTTACAATCATACCTATTTTAAAAAATTACCAAATTTAACAGAAGCTTGTTCTGAGAAGGTAATGTATTACCTCTTACTTTCAATAGAATAATGATTCTCTTTAGCGGTAAGATATTAAATGTGTGATTTTCTAAGAAAATGAACTTTTCTGTTCTCTCTACAGACAGTAATTTTTTTCTGAGTAAAAAATATAAGAAGAATGGAAAAAAAAAAAAATGATGAAGCTTCTCAGCAAAGAAAGCTCGTTTGCTTGTGGCACATTTTACTGTAAGAGAGGCAAATTTTAGTTGACATATTCACCAAAAAGAAGAAAGAAGCATGTGAGAGAAACAAGAAATACAGAGTTTTGCCAACAGGATTCTGTTCCCCATGTCGTTCCTCACCGCCACCCCCCACCCACACCAAAGGAGACATTTAGCTTATGAGAAGACATGGATGACTCTCCAGATGATGGTTTTGAATATCCTTTCCCTTGATATCTGTCTCCTATTCTACCTTAAATCCACCGAAAAGCAACTTTAATAGTTACTACTATCTTAAATATATTCTTCTTGGAAATGGAGAAACCAGTAGGTGTTAAAGGCCTACAAATAAATACTTTCTTCATGTTGTAATAAGAACATTAAAACAAAAAACCCACCTTGGGATAGGACAGACTTAAATATAAAGCAGCACCCAAATAATAGCACATGACCATTCACATTGCTGTCTATCTTGCAACTTGAAGTGAAATTGGTGGACCAAAAGCATTGGCGTCAATCAGGGCACAGGATCCACCCCAAACCTACTGAATCAGAATACACATTTTAACAAGAATTCCAGAGGATTCATGTGCCTGGTAATGTTTGAGAGGCACTGCTTGAGAACATAGGTTCCCCAACCCTAGTAGTCATCTGAATAACCTGGGAGACCCTTAAAATGTACAGATTTTCCGGAGCTAACCCAGACGTACTGAATCTGACTCCTGGACTTGCCCAAGATGGTACAGTGAAGCAGTGGTAAGCCAGGATTTGAATCTATATTTATCTAATTCCAAATCCCATGCTCTTAATGACTATTCAGTGTGGCCTCTGCAGTGTGCCCCACTTGGTGCTTTGCTTGGCCTAAGTGGGTGCTCAATAAGTACATTCCACCTCTCCATATTTTTGAAAGGGAAATAATATCGACTGTTATTAAGAAGGTTATCACACTGCCTTGTCAATCTTACATGTTGCCTCTATTTGAAACACAGATGCACCATGTCTGAGGACTTGTTTTTTGTTTTGTTTTGCTTTTTGAATTCTTTTTTCTTTTTTTTTTAGGCATGGGGCAGCACTGAAAAAAACATTTCTAGTTAGAAACTTTCTCAGCTCTAGGACTACATACCGATGGCTGTGAGGCATTTCTCAATGTCACCTTTCAGCTCCAGGTATAGAACTGTGTTCATGTTGTTCTGACTGTACGTGGTGTATTTCTGAAACACTGAGTATTAAGTTTAAACTAAGAGATGTACAAAAAATCCTATTCTTTAGCAAACTTTAGCAAAATCATTGAGACTGGTTCTGAGAATTCCTTGGGATAACTGAACTTCAACCACACATTTTAAAGCTATTTTCATAACTGAGCATAATATGGATACTTCATCTTCTCCTGGGAACATAACTCGCATGGCCATTTTGGTACTCCTGTATGTTTTGGGAAATGTTTGTAAGTGTTGACAGTAGTAGAAATGGCACGTGATTGACAACCATACACTTACTACCGCAGTGCTAAGTGCCATAGCAAATTGA